TACAAATTAATTTCTGAGGAAATCAAGAAGCCACAACTGTCAGGACCCAGCTTAACTGCATATGCACGCCGCCCTGACGAGTCGTTCCCACTACAAACGACCGATCCGCCCACACAAAGTACACGTGACGACGCGCGTAGCTGCGCCCAAGCTCAGGACTCGAACACGCCAACTGCATGAGTCACGAAGCCAATGAAGTCGCCCCTTTCTTGGGCACACAATCTGATTGGTCCGATTGGACATGGCTTGTATACGCGTTCGCTTGCTCTACTAGGCTTGCTCTTAAGACTTCTACTTTTGCGCTCCTCTCGTTGAGTTCTTCCTCGGGGGCTCACATAAAGCGTAACTTAGACGGCGATATCGCAGCTTTGGCCACATTGACAACAACAACAAGAATGCTGGGCGCACATATAATGAATAAGGGGCTTAGATATCAGATGTATTAACCATCTGCCAGCCGGAACATTTGGATCGCTGGTCACTGTAAAACCGCAACCGGCAGTGTTAAAATTCCCTTATGATCAACTTTGTACTTTTGTAACATGGCCGTTCCTAGTTAGTTCATTTCAGTTGCCTTGTAGAAATGATCTATCTTCTAGGAGATCGCTCTCTCATTGAGGGATGGGCTAGCTGATATGGATGATTTATCAGATGCTTGTCACCAGTTAGTAAGATAGTAAGCAGGTTTCCTGTGGCAGATTTAACTGCTGTTGATCCCCATGCAAGGAATCAGTGTTCCAAGCATATTCAGCGGGCCTCCTTAAGCCGAACCTCAAGTGATAAGGATTCCCTTCTGCGCCTGATTAAACTCAAAGGGATCGTGTAGAGAAGGTGAAAGTCAGGAACTGTCAGCATGGTATACCTTGAGAAACAAATTTACAACCTACTTTCCGTTCAACCAACGAGTTTCTTTTCCGAACTACTCAAAATTACTTAATATGGCCGCCACAGTTACAAACCTCACAGATTTTTTAGTTTTCTGTGGGCGACAACACATTCTTTCGTTATATCCCACGATGTTAAAGGTACAGCTTTTTGCTGGTGAGCCGTACCCACTGAAATGCTATGCAGCACTTTGGAGGTCTCCTGCTGTCTAAACCTGTCCTTTGCACCTGGATGTCCAAAAGTGTACTGATTTTGACAAAACTGTTGGAATATTTACTTATTTACTTTACTTATTTAACGTTCCATTAACTGGTATGCTGCAGTAGGACCAAAATAAGTGAAAAAAGATGCAGCTAAGCAGCCTGTAGCTGTTGCATTTTGGCTGCCCTTTGATACACGGTTCGGATCAGGTTAGAGAAAAAGAGGTAAAAAGTATTCATCCGGTAAATTCTGCATGCAGTGGGAATGAATGTTCACACCATTAAGTTGAATCGTGAAGTGCAGGTCAGTTTTTTTGATCGGATTGAGTACTTTAGCATTTTTATGCTTTGCCTAGACGTCTGCAGAAGGTTGTGGCCGAAGGGCTTGCGAACGATGAACTTTAAACAACAGGGAGATGACTTAAATGAATGCCTCAAACTGTACTTCCCAGTTGGAACTGTGCCAGCAATACAAGAGTGACCTGTCGGCTCCACCAGATGGTGTCATTTTAGAGCCGAAGACAATCTCCTTCGGGAATAAAAGTACAAAAGAACTTTTTAAATGCCATATAACCCTTCCCCCATCGGAGAAGGCGTCTTTAAAATATTTATAGAAGACATAATGAATAGAGCTCCATAAAAATACTGAATTTGGCAGGCGCAGAGAAGTAAAAAAGAGTTCTTATGTTTGGTTCCCGTTCGGTATTTTATATTCTCGTCTGCCATCGCTATATTAATTTATACTCTCTCACCGCAATCCATTAATATTTTTCGGGTTTTTCAGATTTTCTG